TGTGTGTGTGTGTGTGTGTGTGTATGTAATGATGATTCAGACACCAGGCGTATGAATGACAGTTGACATGATCCAGGAAGGATAGAATGCCTGGGACAAACCTGGCAGAGGAGACTAAATTTTCTTTTCTTTTTTCTTTTTTTTTTGTAAGATTTTTGCCATACGGTGTGTGTGTTCACCAGTGACAGACAGTGAGAAGGAAAATGAGAAATCACCACCCAGTAGGGTGACCTCACTGCAATCCTTACTCTTCTATTTTCCTGGACTTTGGGGCATGCACAGACATGTACCTGGCACAATTTTTAAGCTGCCAGTCCAGGACTCGAACAGTGGTCACCCACATGGGAATCCACCTGCTCTCTCAGGAGTCAGCTTCAATAAATGAAAATCTCTTTCCCAGAAGAAAATGAGGGAAATACAAACCACTGAGAGATTCATTCCTCTTTCTCTACCCACAGATGGTCTATTTCAAGATGTCCCAGCCCAACAGAAACATCTATCGGCTCCCTGGACCTCGTCCTGTCTCTAAATTTGCCTCCAACATGGACTCTTCCTCCTTCTTGGACTCTCTCTCCCAGGAGTTTACCAACTTGACCCGTCTTCTGTACTGGCCTCCCATCCCAGGAGGTGCGGGGGACATTTTGGCCTCTACCAGCCCCCAGACCTCTACCTACCACCTGAGGAGTCCTGCTCAGGCCAGCTATGCCCTGGGAAGCTCCCTGGAGGCCATCCTTGTGGCCAGGGACCACCGGGGCAGGCCCAAGACCCACGGTGGGGATCTGTTTCGGGCACAGCTGCTGGGTCCAGATCTGAAGGCAGGGGTCCCTGGGGATGTCTGGGACCTGGAAAATGGCACGTACCTCTTATCTTTCCCCCTTTTCTGGGCTGGGCAGGCCCAGGTGCAAGTGCGGCTGATTCACTCCAGCGAGGCAGTTGGGGTTCTGCAGAGAATCTGGAGAGAGAAAAGCGCCACAGTCGATTTTAGGGGCTATTTCCGGGGACCAAAAGGGACTGAAGAGACTGTGATTTGCAATGTCGACCCCCAGTCAACTGGTACAAAAGGGCCTACCTGCCAGTACAGGGATATGGTTTCTGGTGAACTCTGGTTCTGTGCTAAACCTCCTACCCTGCCCTGCAACTTTCTAGTTGGTCATTCAAGTGGGAGTTATCTGAAGGTGACCACTCCACGTGACGAGGCCCTGCTGGCATGGTAAGAAACCCAGAATGTGGGTTCCTCATTATTTTTAAAAATATTCAATTATTTAAATAGATTTTAAAGTAATTTGTGCAGGGTCGCTGGGCCCATGTGTGTGTGTGCGCGTGTGTGTGTGTATGTGTGTGTGTGTGTGTGCCCAAGATCCCGAGAAGAGAATGAAGAAGGGATTGTGGCATGACCACCCCCCCGGAGGGTGATTTCTTGCTTTCTATCTCTCTCTCTCTGTCTCTGTCTTTCTGGTGAACATACACACCGTATAGCAAAAACAAAACAAAACAAAACCAAAAACAAATAAAACAAAAAAAAACTCTCAAAAAAAAAAAGTAAATAAAGAATTTGTGCAGGGTTAGCAGGTGATACGGTGATAAAGGCACTGGATCCCGCATGGCCGACTTTGTGATTGAGTCCTGGATCCAGTGACTTGAAAACAGGCCAAGCGTGCATGCATGCATGCCCTAATCCAAAGGCGGGAATGGAGGAGAAGGGACTGTGGCATCACTATCCCCCTTGAGAAATCACACCCCTCTTGTCTCTCTGGAAAGTGTAAACACCCTATGGCAAAAACTAGGGAAGAAAAAAAACAGTCCAGACTTTTCAGTGAGAATTGGTATGCCATTTTACCAGGAGAAGAAGCCTCTATTTTATTCCATTAGCTTCTGTTGGTATCTCCAATACACGTTACTTCAATTTCTTACATGGGGTATCTTCAAAAGAATTCATGGAAAATATGTATTATGAAAAACTAATGTGTGGATTTCAATTTTTTTGCACTAAAACAAACTTGTACTTTAATTCTATTTTTACACTACCTTTTTGAAGTTATCTCATGGAGGTTTATTGCCTTGTATAGTTTCATGATTTTAAAGTTTATAGAACACTTAACCCATCTATTTCGAACCTCTTTATCTGGAATAAAAATAAGTAAGACTATAAATTTCTGTGAGTATAGCCTTAATTGTATTCTCCAAATTGTTTATAGAGGAGTTTTTATTCTGTTTTTTCATATTTTATAATTTCTAGTGATTTTCTCTGTAGCTTATGAATTATTTAAAAATTATTTTAAAAAGTTTTAAACTTCAAAGTGGCTAGTTGGGGGACCAGCAGTTAGCATAATGGCTATGTCGCTGGACTCCCATGTAGTCGACCGCAGTTCGCGTCCCGGACCCGGTGGCTTAAAACTCATGCCGGGCGCATGTGCGTGTGTGCCCAAGATCCCAGGAGGAGAATGGAGGAGAAGGGATTGCGGCATGGTCATCCCCCTTGGGGAGTGATTTCTCACTTTCTGTCTCTCTGTCTCTCTCTGTCTGTCTGGCGAGCTCACGCGCACTATAGCAAAAACCTCTCACACACACACAAAAGTGGCTAGTTGGCTGACACTGTGGCCTAGTGGTTAAAAGACCTGGATCCCGCATGGCTAACTCTGATTTGAGTCACAGCCTCAGTGACTTGAGAAACAAGCTGGGTACATGTGCGTGTGTGCAAAATAACCCTGACTGGGTGGAGAAATGGAAGAGCAGGGACGACAGTGTGACCACGCCCCATTAGGGAGTGCTTTCTTTCTCTCTTTCTCTGTCTCTGTCTTTCTCTGGCGAGCGCACATACCCTCTGGCAATATATTAAACTAAGTGGGAGCCTTTTATTGTTCTCTTTAAATTTATTTGCATAATGAATAGAAACATCATCTTTATAATATTGATTCTTTAAAATTTCTTTAGAATACATTTGTGGCCTAATGAATAACTAATTTTGTTTGTATCTCACATTTCTTAAAAATAATTTCTGTTCTCTTTTTCACAATAGAACCCTGAACCTATTTGATTTAATGTGTTAATTTTTTTTTGAAAGGTTTTTGCTATAGGGTGCGTGACTCACCAGAAAGACAGAGACAGAGAGACAGCGAGAAATCTTCTCAGGATCTTGGGCACTCACACATACGCACCCTGCGTGAGATTAAGCCAACAGGTCCAGGACTCGAACCATGGTACTACATGGGAGTCCAGTGACATAGCCATTATGCCAATGGCTGGCCCCATTAATGTGTTGTTTTTTTATTCCAAAAAATCTATATCTTCACAATTTTTTATGTCTGCTCAATGTATTGGGTTTAGATATAAATGCACTATGCTGCGTTTGTAGATGTACAGATTTGACCATTTCTCTTCGTAATCCAGCAATTTTCACTTTATGCACTTTAAAGCTATGTTACGTATTGGGGCTGACAGGTGGTATAGTGGTTAGGGTGTTGGACTCCCACATGGCAGACTGTAGTTTGAGTCCCAGACCTGATGGCTTGCTTTCTCACTTTCCTTTTTTCTCTGGTCAAATTACAAAATGATGATAATAAATAAAACAATTATTTGTTTTAAACTCTGTTAAGTACAACTTTGTGGTTGTTTTATGTTATACATAAATTTTCCATTTTACTTCCTTGTATTTGTCCTAAAACTCTAATTTTTGTAATATGATTATTGCTAAAACACAGGGCCATGGACCAGCACTGGTCCCAGCCTGTTAGGAACCCGGCCACAGAGCAGGAGATCGCACAAGAGATGAGTGATCTGAAGCTTCATCTGTACGTACAGCTACCCCCATAGCTCACATTCACTTGAGCTCCATCTCCTGTCAGATCAACGGTGGGATTAGATTCTCAGAGGAGCGGGAACCCTGTTGTGAATGGAGCATTCAAGAGATCTAGGCACTTGGATATACAAGTGACTCAACTCCACCTCAGATCACCAGGCATTAGATTCTCATAAGGAGATTTAAAATATTTTGTCCAGGGTTAGCAGGTGACGTGGTGATAAAGGCACTGGATCCCAAGTGGCCAACTTTGCAGTTGAGTCCTGGATCCAGTGATGTGAAAAACATGCCGCTCTTGTAAGGAGAATGTAATGCTTGGTGATCTGAGTTAGGAGTCAGTGTCAAGTGACAATTTAGCTGCATCTGGTGGCAGGTTTATAGTGGCAGGTGAGTTGATGTACTTTAATTGTGTAGCTGCATCTGGTGGCAGGCTTTAAGTCAGAAGCTGTGCCTCCCCCAAGCCCTGTCCATGGGAACATTGTCTTCCACAAAACTGGTCCCTGGTGCCTAAAAGGTTGGGGACCACTGTTAAAACAGATTTCATCTGCTAGATATTGTAATCGCTTATCTTTTCATCTCACACAGTTTCTGTGTGAAATAGTTCCAGGCAAGACTCTTGACATGATGCTGTTGCATTTACTTAACCATAGTTAAATCAATCGTGGCAGAGACTAGATTCATAAACACAACTAATTCCATCCAAACACAATAGGCATTCAAGTCAACAGGGAAAGTACTGAATAGTCAGTAAAAGGAAAAGAATATAATATAAGATTATATGTAGTATAAGATTTGAACTTCACACTATACCTAGAGATCAGTTCCAGGAGAATTAAATATCTAACTGTAAAAAGCAAACCTTAAAACTCATAGACGAGGGGCCGGCAGGTGGCGTGGTGGTTAAGAGTATTGGACTCCCACATGGCCGACCGTGGTTCAAGTCCTAAACCTGATGCTAGCTTTCTCACTTTTCTCTCTCTCTCTCTCTCTCTCACATTCTGTCCCTTTCTAGTAAACATGGGACCAAATAAATAATAAAATAAAAGATAAGAAGTAACTCAAAGATGATAGCAGAAAATTAGAAAATAGGAGGGTTAGAAAATAATATTTTAGACATAGAAGAGGCACACACAATAGTGAAAAATATTAGTAAACTGGGATACATGTAGAAATAAAAAACTTGTCTATTATAGAAAGCCCCATAAATATAGTTAAAGTAAGTTATTGACTAAAATATGTTATCTGTAATGTATGTAATTGATACAGGATTAATATTCAGAATAAGTAAAGAAATCTTATAAAACAATTAGAAAAATTTTACAGCATAATAGGAAAATGGGCAAAAGATTATCAAGAGAGAATCACAGAAGAAAAATTCGAATTGTGAATTAAAATATGAAAATACATTCAACCTTATGAATAATCAAGGAAATTTAAATGAAAAACAAACTATGACATCATTTAATCATCTTTATATTTTAGATCTTTTGATCTGACACAAACAAGGGTGACAAGGACTTACAGAGACAGAGAGCCTCATACATATCCAGTGATAGGGTAAGTTGTTTTAAGAATTTGGAAAGTAATTGAACGATGCCTAGTACACTTGAAGATACACATAACCTACAACCCCAAAACTTGCCGTGTAGTTATAAAGTGTAGGGA